CCCAAATAAACAATATTCAGGGTGTTCATATTGATATAATAAATTGATAGGCTTAACAAGTTTTAGAATTGTGACTTCAGTAAACACAGGGAAAAAAAAATCTTACATTACTTGGAAGGATAGGGATCTTCCAGATCACAGAATATTCTGGGTTTGAAGGGACCCACAAGGATAATCAAGTCCARCTCTGAAGTGAGTGGCCCATATGGGGATTCCTTCTCTCTTATCTCATTAAGTGCAAGACAGATACTTTTTATAATGAAAATCTGMATTGAGTAARAATTACATGAGCACTAGATAAAACYSTATCTTTGCAGCCTTGAATTACTCCAAGGAGTCTGTTGTGCTCTTATGAAAAAGCTGATTAGTTTAAATAGTAGTTTGCCTAGCAGTAATTGCAGTGTGATAAATACCTCTGACTATGGTTTCGTGCCTGTAAGGCACAGTTTATTTACTCTCCACCTCTTTAAAAGAATCAGTATTTGAAAAGTCCTCAGATAGCATGTATCCTTGGACAGCCCTCATGAAATCAAAATAGAAGATAGGAAGAGTCTGAGACAGGGAGCTGCAGAGGTAGAGTGGAGAGATTATATGGGATTGGAAGTCAAGTGATGAGTTGCTTTAAAATGCTTAGCTAAATTTATCTTTGTAGTGAGTAAATATGCATAAAACTGAGACAGCTGCAGCTGTCTTTTTTGTAGCAATCCCATGTGTTACATGCTTGAAAATGTGGAAGCTGTTCTCTCCTGTTGTAGGGGATTTAGTGTTTTCCAGGTACCTCTTACACTTTGCAAAGATGACACTGATCTGCTCCACTGATGTTTTTGTAAAGATCTGACTCCATTTTTGGTCTCTCCACAGTTCTTATTTGCTACACTCACACCAAACAGGAAATGCAGCCAAGGTCTCCTTTATCCATAGTTACAGCTCTTGTGGATAAAATCAGTAAGTGGCAATTCAGTAAATAAAAATAGTTTCGTTTATTGTCTCACTCTTTTATCAGTTACTGCCTTCCAATGGTTGTGATTGGGGATATCTTCTTCACTCCTGTTTAGTTCACTTTGTCTTGTTTTGGCTTTGAAGTTTTGTGTCTTTTATTGACAAGAGATGGAAAGAGGGTTTTGTAGATGTTTTTCAGCATTTGATATTCCACTTTCCTTCAAAATACAACTTTCACAGTTCCTCCACTTTAGTGTTTAGTTTTATTTCGGCATGCAGGATCTTAGCTTCATTACCAAACAGTATTTGTTCTGGTGGAGTTGGACCTTGCTTGTGTTACCTGTTCTGCTGAGCATTTCCTTGGGTCTGCTGTCCATCTGTATGCCTGTTTACTACTCCTGTTCTGGCTTCAGAAATCTGCAGAGGCAGAAACTGCAGACAAGCAGTGAGATCCCTTACAACAGCTGTCTCTTCTGGGTTGTCTTTCCATGTGTTGCCACTTTCAGATCACATAAAAGTCCTAGAGAATCTGGTTTTTCTAGTTATCAGTTGTGAGTGACCTCCAGTAGCCCCTAACGTTTGTTTTGTAGATTTGTGCCAGAAGATTATACATCCAGACTGTGACATCAAATTCACAGGCAATGTTTCTTGGGTTGGGAAGACCTCCATGGAAGTGAAGATGCACATGCTTCAGGTTAGTTCCTGTGATTTCTGTCCATCTTATAACAGGTGTGAGTTGCTTCAGGGGAATTTACAAGAGCACATAGTGACAGGGCAGGGGAGAATGGCTTCAAACTGAGTGAGAGTGCATTTAGATGAGATAATGGGAAGAAACTATTTACTGAGAGGACAGTGAAGTACTGGAACAGGTTGCCCAGAGAAGCAGATGCCTCATCCCTTGAAGTGTGCAAGGCTGAGTTAGATGGGGCTTTGAGCCACCTGATTGTGGAAGGTGTCCCTGCCTGTGGCAGAAGGATTGGAACTGGATGTCTCTAAGATTCCTTCTAACCCAAATAATTCTGTAATTCTATGATTCTGTGATAATTCAGGTAAACAGGTAAATTTATTTTATTCAATTGTTCTCCTTAAGTAAAGTCTCTGATGTGAAAGATAATGTTACACCTTTTTTTGTCAGAACTCCTTACAGTACTGGTATTAGTAACAGTTTGTCATTGATGAAAGAAAATGCTATGGCATTTCTCAGAATGAAGGTTAAGTGGGTCCTTTTACAATACCTGTTGATTTCCTCCCCTCCCAGCTGAAAGTTTTTAAGAAACATTCCCTGGTAAATGTTTACATTGCAGAATTCCTGAAACTAAAGTTTTAATTATTTCCTTATCTTTGACCTATTGTGAGAGACGTTGGAAGGAATGAGAGAATGTGAAAGTAAGCAGAATTAACATTGTGATTGAATAGTTTATGTCAACTAAATAGCTTGCTAAGCACATTTACAATTTTAGAGTTCAGTAATACATTTTTTTYCTGTCTTTTTTAGCTCCATGATGGTGATTACAGCCCTGTGTTAGATGCAACCTTTGTCATGGTGGCCCGGGACCCAGAGAATAAACGGTAATTTGTAGGACAGGAACACTTTCCTGACTTCTGCTGTGCTGAAAATGGCAAACATGGCAGCTTGCTCTCTATGTGTAGAAACTATAGAATACAGGTAATAAACAAACCACATAGTTGATGCTTTCTGCTGGAAAGTGTTAACTTTACTGTGACAAGCTTCAGAGTATTAATTTCAGCAGTCATGATATCAGGAATTGCTGGTAGTCTTGGGATCTGACCCTTTAATGAAACAGATTTTTCCCTGTGTTTGAGTGACTGGTTTGAATGAACACAGAAGTGATTGAGTCTGCCAGAAACCCACCTGCATTCTTGTAGCTGTTTGAATTAAAAATTAAGTTTCAGTGGTTAAGTAGTCTTTGAGTGAACGATAAATTAATTCCCTAATAGATGCTTAATAGGTGTCTTCAGAATAATTCAGATTAAAACTTGCTTGTTTAACTAAGATGGAACTGGTAACTATTCCCAGAGAACTTTAAAAAATCCCCAGATACTTACTCTGTTATTTTTCTGGTTTTACTTTCTCTGTAATTCCTTAGTCATTAGAATAAAAGGCTGCTCAGTTGCAGTTTAGGTTTATGACTCCAGCATCAGAATAATTGGCTGTAATTCTTCCCTCTTTCCTGTATAGCCTGCCAAAGTAATAAACAATTACCTGGTTTTAATTAGTTTAAATAATTGCTTGTATTTAACAAAGAAGGATGTGTTTAATGAAGGCGTTTTACTTGATAAAATTATATGGTCCCGGTAACATTAGAAGTAGTTTTTGTTTGGTTTTCTTCAGATTTTTTCTAGAACCAGTGAATATATTATACTTTAAGAAAACAAATTATAYTATGTTCCCTATTTTAAGGACTAAKTTTTCAAAATAATTACATCAAATCTGATGTAATTATACAGTAGCAGATTGTCTGAGGACAAGCCTACTTGGGCTAGTGCAGATAGATGCAAGTTGGATGTTGTACAAGCTAGCTGGCCACAGGCCAGCTGTGTTTTGGAAGCATTCTGTCCATATAAGARGGGTATTTGARGTCAAAACCCTTCAGAGAGGTATGRRATGTGTTAGSTTGGCTGTAGTGCCACAGAAATATGGTGTGGTTTTGGCACCATAGCAAAACCTGCATCTCAGCAGCTTGGGGCTTGGTCAAGAGAGCTGATGTAGATGTGTTCTGAGCTGAGGAGAGGTGACATGAACTCTGTGATGGAGAAGGAGCTGCTGGATCTTCAAAATCCAGAGGTTTAGCAAACCAGGAAAGAGCAGTTTGTTCTAAGAGAAAACTTCCCCTCTGCCTCTTTTTGCCAGCCCAAAGTAGGGCTTGGGGTAGAGGTGAATAGTTCAGCAGGTCTATGTGTCCATGTATGTATATGTATGTATATGTATGTATATGTATGTATATGTATGTTGCTCTTAGCATTTGTATAACTGTTGAAAATAGAAAAATAATAATTAGAAATTATGGAGAAGAATGCCTCTCGAAAATTAACGTTTGTCTTCACTTGTGAAAATAATTAAATGTTATAAAATCAGGTTAAAGTGAACTTATTTGTGCAGCAAAATGAACATAGAAATTTGTGCTCAAGGCATGTCATGATCTTGTTTGATAAGTGGTGCACGTGGTAAACAGCTTTTGGCTGTTGATAAGGCTGTCATGGGAACATGGAGATTATAAAAAGACTTGCTAGCTAAGGCACCRTGCTGCTTCTATTCCAGGAGGAATGGTACCAGTGAAGTTTTGCTTGAGACTATCCTAGATCATCATGTTTTCATTTGCTGACTTTCTGAACAGCTTTCTTCTTGAACAATCTTCATTATAATTTATGGGTACAATTTCAGCTTCCTTAGAACCTTAAATGTGTCACTTTTCTCTTTTCTAATTGCACAAGGTGGTGGTTGGATCATTTGATAGCCTCTTCAGAGTTAAAGCTAATGTGATATTCTGTTGGCAGCTGTATTTATTTCTATCATGTAACCTGTCTTTTCATCTTGTACTATGTATATAAGCAGAAATGGAAGATTGTTATAATCTATTTACAGGACAAATTCTTGTAAAGTTTGTAACTTAAAAAACCTTCCTGTTCATAGGCCAGCATTTGTTAATCCACTCATTCCTGAGAGTCCTGAGGAGGAAGAAATCTTCAAGCAAGGGGAATGTATGTCATATTTCCTGGTAGTATGCACTTCTGCCTCAGTTTTAACTTAATAGCTGAGAGCAAGTAAAGCTCAGGAGTTCTGCTACTTAGAAATGCTTCTAATTAGTGTAAAATCAGATTTTTATTCTGTCTCATTTGTGTCAGTAGTGTAAGAGAGCTTAAAAACTTGCTGCCACATGTTTGGAAACTAAACTGACAGACAGGGGCACTCCTGATGTGCTGTGCACACCCTCTGGACTTCTCCCTTGGCAGGACACTCCCTCTGCTTCACATCTGAGTGAAACAGGGGCTCCTGGTGCTCTGGCCAATTGTTACCCCATGGTGGGCCTGCAAGGCATCACAGCTTCTTACCTGTCTGCATGCCCATGTTCCTTTTGGAAAGAAACTCAGGAGAGGAAAAGGGGGAGAAGCAGGGGAAGGGGCATGTAGCTCCACTCTCATTTGTTTCAAAATGGAGTTTTGAAGCAGAGAATTAGAGAAACCTCAAAGACTGAATAAACTGGACAGAAGATCTTTTAAGCTAAAAATTTAGTCACTGCAGCCTATGGTAATGAGTACTGTAATAAACTTAATTCTTGTGCCATTGGCAAAACCTGAAGCTGATGGTTCTGTGGGGTTTCTTGTTAGATATGTTCTGTACTTTGAGAGGAGTATTCAAGTTTTCTGTCAGAACAGTGTAAGGGTGTCATAAAATATGTATAGAAGTTCTTTATTGCATTGGTGAGGTACTAGAACTTCTGCTTTATTTTGATAAAGTCAATTCTAAAAGCTGTATTTCTGTTTGGATCTATAGGACCATGAAGTTACAGCTTTAATTTACAGGGGGAAAAGGTAAAATGGAAAACCAGTTGATTCCAGGTTAAGATCTTTAGAGCCATTATGTTTTTTCTTTGGACTCTAAATACTATGCATTACTCTAATACTCTAATATTTTTTAAAATATTCAGTGAACAAGTTGAAGAGGATTGATTTCAACACTGCTTCCTTACTGAAAATGGCTCCTACTGCAGAAGAAAGAAACATTGTGCATGACATATTCCTTAATACATTGGACACAAGGCAAGAAGGGGAGGGGGGAAGGAGAACTCATAACTTGTGAAAGAGGAAAGTGCCTTTGGAGTGATTGCTTGTTAGAGGGTAGTCTGGAATAAATGCACACATTTAAATTCTGTAGCAGTTTATTTGAAATGCAAGTACAAACTTTAATGTGACATCTGCAGCTCTTAGAAGAGTCTTCTAAACAAACTGTTAGGAATAATTTTGAGGAAGAAGGTTAATGATGTTTAACCAACTAAGGGAATGGAATAGTTTTCCAATCATGAGTTGTACAATCTGAGTTATCTGCCATGATGTCTAATTAAAAAACCTTTGAGGGCAGGAACTGGGATCTTTTGGCCAAATAACCTTGCAGTGTGTCTTAGATACAGTACCTGACAACATTGAGGAAGTTATTAGTATACTTCTCTTATACTTGAGATTAGTGTCAAGTCATCTGATGCCAACAATGATAGAACAGTATCTTTGTCTACTTACATTAGTACAATGCTGTATTTGTGATAGTTTATCATTTCTTCACCTTATTAGCCTATAAAATTGTTATTTTTAAAGCTGTTTACCAAAGGCAGACATGCTTTCCCTTAACATTAGCAGTTGTACTTCATACACATTCCATCTGTGTTTGAAAACTTCAAACTGGATGCATGTTTAATCCAGAATTATTCCATTAGCTCACTGTGTGCTTTTATTTCCTATTATGACTTAAAAAATAGAGCAAGGCTTTTTTGACAAAGTGTTCACTTTGTGGTTGATTTAACTTTCCTTTCATGTACCTTTCTCAAGCCTCTTCATTCACATAAACTTGAACTTTAGCAGAAGTTTGTGAAAGATCAGGAGCATAGGTTTATTGCAGCTACAAATCAAAGGACAGCTGTAGATAAGGTTTCAAGGTCAGTTGAAACAGTGTTTAGTGATACCATTTCTGTTTTGGGTTTCATTTTGGTGTTCTATGTTTTTGTGGGTTTTTTTAGTGCATATCTACATTTGCTATTTATGCTTTTTTGGCTTGCTGAATTCTGCTCATTCTGTGGACTATAAAGTTCATTTTCTCTTCCAAAGGACAGTGAGTTTCCAGAGTCGTAAATTACCACCCAACTCAGTGTGGATGGAAGATGCAAAGCTAAAAGGCCTGCAGATTTGCCATCCTGAGGTATTTTGAAAAATATTAATGAATTACAGAAAGTTACTTAAGAAATAACTGTGAGAGGGAATTTTTGCAAGGACATGTAGTGACAGGACAAAGGGTAGTGGCTTCAAACTGAAAGAGGAGAGTTTAGAATAGATATTAGCAAGAAATGTTTTACTGTGATTGTAGTGGGGCTCTGGAACAATTTGTGGATGCCTCATCCCTGAAAACATTCAAAGCCAGACTGARTGGGACTCTGAGCAACCTGGTCTAGTGCAAGGTGTCCCTGCTTATGGCAGGGAGGATGGAACCAGATGTCTTTAAAATCCCTTCTAACCCTAACCACTCTATGGCTCTATGAATTTTCATCTAAGATTAGTCAAACCATTATTTTCTTTGGCTTCTGCAGTCCTTGCAATGCATTTAGAGCCTACTTTCTTCTGCAATTTTTTGGTTATTTGTATGGATTACCACCACAAAATGGATGATTTTAAATGACCTAGTTTTCTTACCAGACTATTCATTCTGTGTAAAGAAAGTTCTTTGCAAAGTGTTTGCAAGAAGTTTGGCCTTTGGTTGCTGATACAATTTTGAGTTGTTATCTTATGCTGTCAAATTAGTCAGATGAGCTCCTATTAAGTAAAGTTGCCTCAGGCATTTTGAATTTTACATACATATTTCAGTAGTGCTTTTTATATATTCAGGTGTTGGGACTTCTGTTAAATACTGTGAACTGAAGTGCAGACTTCAACACAAGGCTTTGAATTTGGTATTTGTTTCTGTGTACAGGAACGGAACATCTTCAATAGGATCTTTGGGGGTTTTCTCATGAGAAAAGCATTTGAACTGGGATGGGCAATTGCTTGCAGCTATGGGTAAGTTGTAGATGTGCAATATTTATATAATCCACAGCATTGTGCACATACACAGAGGTTGGGAACTTGAGCTAAGCAACCTAATGACACTCTGAGCTGAAAAACTTAAATGTCTGTTAGAATCTTTCACTATTAGTGCACAGTGCTGCTTTGCTTGGAGCATCTGTCATATTTACAARGAGATTGGCATCTTGTTCCTTGGAGCTTGGTTTTAAGCATCATATGTCAGAATACACATCTATTTTCTGTTTTCTTTTATCTTAACCAAGCTATTGAGATGGACTTTTTAACCATATAACATACTCATTCTATCAAATAAACATTACATCTTTGCATTTAGTACACAAGAGGAATGGGTTCTGAACTTTTATTAACTATTTGAGCTTAGGAAGTGTGACTTGAGTCATCAGCCATCAAGGTCTATTGTGTAAGTTTAATGGGGTATGCATAGCCTGATATAAAGTTGAGTGGTTTTGTGTCAGTGCTTGAAAAACTGAGGCCTGAGCAATGATGGCATGAAGATTGTCAAGCAAGTATAAGTCATAAGATACAACAATGGTGCAATAATGTGTTTTTAGAAAGTTTGTACTTTGTTGATGTGAGAGATTTACTACAGTGATGACAGAACTTCTTAACACTTCCTGTAGCCTCCATTTAAGGAAGAGATTTATTCTCTAGTAACCCTTCATTAAAATGCTGACAAGTAGATATTTTAAATTTCTCCAAACATCCTTTTTATTATTGAGAAGAAATTTCTCTTTTCCTTCCCAGGGGTTCCAGACCCTTTATCGTATCTGTTGATGATATCATGTTTCAGAAGCCAGTTGAAGTTGGATCCTTATTACTGCTTTCTGGACAGGTAGGAATTGGTTTCCTTTTGAAAAGAAGCAAACATTGTCTTTGCTGTTGTTGCTGTTAGTCACTGATAATGAGCAGTGTCTTAGGAGACAGTGTGCCTTTTCTTGTTAAACACTATAATGAAGCTTGTTACAGTTTTCAGCACTGGTGATAAATTACAACCTCTAACTCTTGTTTTAACCTTGTAGGTCTGTTACACAGAAAAAAACTACATCCAGATTCGAGTACACACTGAAGTTTACAATGCCAATACCAGGGAGAACCATACTACCAATGTTTTCCATTTTACATTTGTATCAGAAAATGAGGTCCCACAAGTTGTACCTAAGACATATGGAGGCAAGTATCCCATTAGTATGTTGTCATCATAACTCTGTAGAAAATATTAATTTCTTTCTCTTGGAACACTGATCATTTTAATAGATGAACTAGAATAATTTTAACAGGATTTCTTGGCAGACAACATATATTTTATGCTTTGATGACAATGTGGATTGCTTCTTACTTTTGCCAATCTGTGTAGTTGTATTGATACTAAGTTACTAATGTGGTTCTCTCTTTTCTTGGCTTTATTTCAGAGTCCATGTTGTACTTAGATGGGAAGAGACACTTTACTGCAGTCATGAAAGAAATCTGACAGGCACTGGGTGCTGCATCAGCAGTGTAGCAGCATGCTGTCTTGGCAAGAACTGTCACCAGAGATGGCTGATGGACAGATGCTTGCAATACTCAAAGAAAAACCCAGCAACCACCCAAAACAAAACTGAACAAAAAAAAAAAATCAAACCAACCAAACTCCATACCAAACCCCACATTTTTAATGCTCTTTACGTTTTTGCATATATTTGGATTTTTTATTCTTTACTCCTAGAATTTGTTGAAATCTTTTACATGCCAATGCTAGGAAAAGAGGCTGAAAAAATGCAGTCTTAGACTTGAGATAGCCTCTCTTTGTCTACTTTGAGAGATCTCATTACAACCTTTACTGTCTTGTCACCATCTGCTGCCTTTCCTTTAGTAGCTCTCCTTTGTGTTTCCCTGATAACAGATAGTTCTGTCAGAAGAAGGTGTGCAATAAGTAGATACACGTTAAGTGAGGCAATTTGACCTACATTCTTGTGTAAATTAGGTTAAGGGTCATAATTCTTTTTTTTTAATGAGGACACATGCATCTAAGCAGCAGCAGAAGCTCAGAAGTTACTAATGTATGCACAGTGGAAAGCAGTTGTTTCCCATCAGTGGGGATTTTACTGCAGCTTCTSTTTGGATGGTTTCGTGTTCCCTTGGGAGGAAACTGATTTTTGCAATGAAATGAGGTGGCCAGATGGTATTTTCTGGCATTCTGTTTGTGTCCTTGCCAGCCTCTTCTAACTTTTTGTTTGTTTGTTTTAAWATGTAACTGTGAGTTCCTTAGGGAATTATTTCTCATGGCCTGGAGACTAGAGATCTGATTGGTGAGATTGGGTGAGAGTGGGAAATGGCATTGTAGAACAGCACATTTTGTTTCATTAAGGACTGGGAACAAAAAAAGGTAAAATAAAGCAGCATTTTGAGCTTTTATTTCTGAGTAAGAAAGCCTGAGACAGTGACAACTTGGACCAGTTTCCTTTAGTGCTAGGATGGCATGAAGTTCATGACTCCTAMCAGCTCTTTCCTGTTCCTGTGAGGAATTGTAATTGAATATTTTAATAACCAGCACGTTATACATGAGCTTTTCCTTCCTGAGACTCAGCTGCTGTTATGGATGTGTTAGATGGCTTTCCAGGGGAGGCTCAGGGTGTGGCCTGGTCCAGAATGGATTAATGCATTGCCCTGATGGTAAACTTTTGGTTCCTTCTGTAGAGTTTCTCAGTTCAGCTACACTCCAGTGCTGACTCAGCTCTATAATGTTAAAATCTTTTTGTTTAATGGTTATGATGTGGAGATAARTTGTATTTTCTGAGTTTTTCCTTTTTAAAACTGACCTTTTAGACTGACCACACAAATAAAGAACTGAAATTCTATCTCAGCTTCTTCCCCCTCACTTGCAGGGAGTAATATTGACTGTAAAAAAATTAGTAAGAAGGCATGAAATGAAAGGATCTACTTCAGGCCTATTTATTACTCCTGACTATCTGCAGGTTTTTATCACTGACCCAGTGATCCTACTTGGATCACTTTTTTATAACACCTGTAAATTAAGGGGATAYCAAGTTTGTCCTCTATCGACTTTTCAGCTGTATTTAAAGATTAATTTATCATAATTTCTAAATTCAGCCTTTGGGAAGAGATTTGAGAGAAGAAGAGGTAATAGAGTAGGGAGGAAGGTGTGACATCAGAACCTCTGGACACAGTGAAGAAAATAAATGCCACAAATGAAGATGCTTAGAAGAACTGATGTGTTCTCAAAGTTCATGGTAACTTAATCACATACCACARTGACAGTATTTACAGAATGTATGTACAGACATACAGAGTGTGTGTGTATATATATACACATTTGTAAAAGATATGTCTTTCTGTTTGCTATATATATATGTACTCATGTATTTTTTACTCCAGGCTGTCACCCTCTCTGGTGACAAGCTGCATGAATCTTTGTTCAAGGGTATGCATGCTGCTTTGTGCCTTTGTGTGTGAGAAAAATGTTCTCAGATCTCACATTTAGAATTAAAATATTTCAACGTAAAAATTCATGTTTATGTTTCAACTTCTGTCCAGCCTGTCACTGCTGTAGGTGACTAATCATTACCACAGAAGCCTAAAGGAATTGCTAAAAATCTTTTTTTTTAATAGTAAACTGGCCTATATAATTATTTGACTGTGGCTTTATAACAGGAAGTAAATGTCTGTGCCCATTGTGTCTTGGGACACAGCAGGAGCAGGATTGCTTCCCTTTACTCTCTCACTTAATGATGATATAAAAGGTGATTTCTGTGGACTAGCTGAACTCAGTGCCCAAAGGAGTCCCTTGTTTTAGATGTTTTTATTTATTTATGGTTAAAAAAAATACTGCAATTACTTACTCAAGCTTCTTGTAACAGCTTCTGGTATCCATTTTCATTCCTCTGCAGCCATATTCATGGTGTACAGCACTCTGGGAAGAAGTTTGCAGGAGCTGATGCAGTGTGGGCCACTGAGCAACAGTTTTAGTTCAGAAACCTGCTCTAAACTCACTGCATGCTCAGTTGGTTTTACTGCACATCTGATCCAGCCTTTGTCTCGTGACAGACTKGTTGGATTGCTGATCTTCTTCTGAATTCTTCTGAATTCTGCATTCTTAACTAGGCTTGGGAGAGAGAATTTCTTCAGGGGCTAGGCACAAGCTAACAGGAAAATAAAAGGGTAGATATTCAGCTTTCAGGTATTCAGAAGGGACTCCTTTTGTGGAAGGTGTAGCTGGATGATGATATCTGCACAGAAAATACACTGGATGTTTCACAGAGATTCTCATCTCTGCAGGGCTCCTGTCCATGAGGCTGGAGGCACTGCTGGCCATTGGCTGCTCCTCACTTGCCTTGTGTTACATAGCAGAAATGGGAGACTTCTGGAGAAGGGGATGGGGCTCTRGGGATTGGTGCTTGGGGCATTCACAAAGCAGCATAGACAGGTTCTGCTCCTTGCTCACAGCATCACTACTTTATGTGGTAACTGCTCAGTTCTTTGCTTTTTCTGTTGAGAAGACAGGTTCACAATGGCATCTGCATTAGAGRTTAATCACACCAGAGCTTCCTCAGGCATCAACTCACTTCAGCTGAGATCAGATCACTGAGAGAGACCTGCAGAGTAACTTGGTCTCCCGAACCATGTGTGACCCCACAGAACTCTCAAAAGAGCTGTGCTATCCTGCCATCACTGCCCACATATGTAGTAGAATAATTTAGGTTGGAAAATACCTTTAAGATCATCGAGTCCAACTGTAAACCTAACACCAGGACAGGCTCCCAGGACTGCAGTGTTTATTTTTTGAATATATTTGCAATTGCAGAGGAAGAGGTTTCTGTGGGCAAGGAATGGATGTAACCCAGGAAGGCTGCAGAAGGCTATATCAGCTAATAACATAAAAAATCTGTGCCATTGCTATTATACAAATTGAATGCTTCTTCAAATACATCCAGGTCTCAGCTAGATCCATCCTGCTTGGAGAGGTGGCTTTCATCTGCAGACCTCACCACCATATATAGTTTAACAGTTGRGGGGGCAGGAGAGGAGTGTGGGAGGCTTGCCCAAAATAGCAGAGGAAGTTGAAAACTCTCTCTTTATTAGTCATTATTTGCCTTGTAGGAGCATTCTTGCTTTCTCTGTTGAGAAGACAGGCATGGCATCTGCATTTTATACACTTCCAAGAGAGCCCCCTGAATGTATCCCAGGGTTTGGGAAAGCAGAAGTGTATGAAATTTAATTTTTTCACTATTTCAAATCCCAGGTGAAGAATGGAAGAACAGATGGCTTTGTCATTTGTTCATCTCAAACACGTACAATCACATGGCAACTTGTTTAAAGACTATTTCCCCAGCTCTCTAACACTTTTTATCCCCACTGAACTGCATTTAAAAAAAAAATCCCTTTCCCATCCCTTACCACACGTTTAAAATGTAAATGTGCATTTATAAAAACCTTGAAAGTTGCCACAGGTATGCTTCTGTGAGCCTAAATTTGCAATGATCAAAGCATGCAGATGGCCCCAGTTTTCTTCAGTCACTAAGTTGTTCTCAGCCCTGTTTTCTGTTCTTGGCTCATTCTGCACAGCTTTTGACAGCTGCTTTGGTGTGATGCCCTTGGTGCTGACTGTGCTGCAGTGACACACCCTGTGGTTTTGTGGCTGTAACTCGCTGCTCATTTTGCTCTGCAAGGAGCTGGGTGGAACATGTCCAACTCGTGGCTGATATCTGTGTCTTTATCAGGTGGCACTGACTGGCTCTGTGCCACTCTGTGCTGCTGGGAGAGCATTAGGTGTGACTGAGGGCAAAGCCTCTGGAGAGCAGGGCACAAGTGTTGTGTTCATTTTGTGCCCTTAGGCTGCTGCTGAATATCCATGTGATAGCTGGGTCTGCATTTTTCATGCTGCAGTGGCTTGGAGTTATTGGAACATTCTGTGTATTGTTTTTGGTGCTTCAGGGTTGGTAAGGCTGTAAACAGAATGTAGAGCAAAATTCAGGAAGCGAATGTGATGTGAGAAATCACTCTCTACATGCTGCCCTCTGCTTTTTTTGATCACAGGCTGCAGCAGCACATTATCAGCCTTTGGGGTTTGGTGTTGATCCTGTTCTGCCTCTAGATGGGATGTGGGTCTCCTCATTTCCCCAAACTGCACTGGACAGGGAGGCTGAGGCTCAGTGGAGCTCTGTTTGCTCTGGCTGTGGTTCCCTCTACCCRTGGCACGTGTGTAGCTGTTACTTGGATCACAGCTGAAGTGAAGCAGCCAATTCTGTGTCTATAATGAGTAAAATGGAGAGCTGCTCAGTACTCACCCAAATCTACAAAATCATGTGAATTCACARTGAAAATAYAACKGTGTCCTAGGTTAGCTGAGTATTGTATTCCTGCTTATGTYAGAGGAAAGTTAAACAACCCTTCTGTAACTATACATTAGTCGAGACTGCTCTGGTTTGTTTGGTGATGTTCCTCCCTTCAAGGACAATGGGAGGGAAAGGGACAAGACACACACGGTTTATTTTTTCCGGGGGGAGGCTCAGGATCAGTGGTGGAAAAGAAGCTGTCTGCTCTCTGGGACTGCTCCTTTTTTCTCCCTTTCTTTGGACTTGTTTTTCCTCGAATTTTTTTTCCTTCGTCATCTGAGAATTGGAGGATTTTTCCCGTGGCACGACAGGCGAGAAAGATCCTTCAGTGAACCACCGGAGAGAGACTCTGTCCAACCCCTCTGGGGGCCCCGGAGGGGAAGCTACTCCCAGGAGGGGAAGCTACTCCCAGGAGGGAAGAGAAAGGCTTTGGGATCAACAGCTGATTCCACAGGTTTTTCTTTTTGTTTTTATAATTTTAAATAAATAGGGTTTTTTTCCCTTTTCTTTTCACTTTCCTCTCTGTGGAAAAGTTTGTCTCTAGGACCCGGGAGGGGAAAAGAGAGGGGGGAGGTTTGCTGGAACTTGGGAGTATTTTGCTCCCATTAAATTCATTCAAACCACGACAAACTGCTGGCCTAATTCTGCAGAACTAGTGAGATGTCTGTGTACAGGACAGGGAATTGTGTGGTCTGGTGAGGAAAGGGAAGCAAGTTCGCAGGCATGTGGGATCCAACCAACAGTGATAATGCAGAGGTGGAGATTGGAGCAGGAAGGTGCTGGTCATCTTTTCAAGAAAGGTCCTGGTGAAAAGCTGACACACATTTCAGTTGCTGTTTTTCCAGTTGCACAGACTCTAGAACACCATGTCAAAAGGAGGAAGAGGTGGGAAGAAGCAAGATGACATCCTCAGGAAAGGGYTCTCCAGTGCATGCAAGTATGTCTTACCTGGAGGTGTTCTTTTCCCTTGAAAAGAAATTCATGTCCATGAGCCACAAGAGTTTCTGATGATCACATGTCACTTCTTATCTTGGGAGAGCCTACAACTATTTCCTTAAAACTAGGAGCCACAGTTAATGAATGGGTTGGTACAGGATGTTATCTCCCATGTCCATCTGTTAACACTGCGGGGACAGGAGAAAAACTCAGAATGTGTAAAACAGAATTGATCTTATCAGCAAATACACTAGAAATTCAAGCATGAAAAAGTTTACTGGTTCAGCTCTTGAATCACATGAACTGGCTGAGCTGTGTTTTTTTCAGTGTAGTTGTACTGATTTATGTAGGGTAGAGTTTGTTCTTATTAGCTGAAAAATGTTTTCCAGCTTTGGATAGACTGGAAATCTCATTCAGCAACTTATTCTTGGCTTTTGGGTTAGCTGCTATTGCCTCTGGACTACAGACAAACATACCATAACCAAGTGTCTCTCTTCTAGCTGTGGTTTCTACAATATAACCAGACAAGACAAGGTTTTTGCAGAAATTAAGAAATCAATTAATAGCAACAGTCATGAATCTAAGCCCAAGATACTAAGAGAAGTGAATTTGGGGAATACTGAGCATCTAAACAAACCTMAAGAGAAAACATGTATTTCATAAGAATATTTTCTGATAGCTAATGAGGTACCTGTGCTTGACAYGAGTTAGACATCACTTTAAACAAYGAGCCCTTTAATGCTTTACTGCCATTACATATTAATCAAACTCACAAAAGTACCAAAATTAATGAAATTTTATTGGCAAAAATCAAGTTGAATGTGACCTATTTGATTCAACAGAAGTGAGCCTTAGTTTAGCTTATCAAAATACTTCAGTTTTCCAGCTGGATCTGGAATTATCTGTGCAAGGAAGAAAATAAAAATGTTAGTCAAAAACCAAAGCCATGAAAACACAATAACCTATAAAGCCAGAACAGCACAATATTTCATAGTAAGACACTGCTGCCAACTCACTAGCAACACTGAAGAGTAATTTACTGGTTGATTTGGTAYTAGATTACTTTTCATCTCTAAATGTACCTAACAGCAATAGCAGAGAGATTCAACTGACTGAGGCAYGAGAGAGTGCAGCTTACCAAAGGAAGAATTTTGACAACTTGCCCCAAAAGCAAGGTATTTTGATAAATTAATGTCTGTAATCTAGAGGCTTAGAATTTACTTACAGTTCTTCCCTTGGCCACCACATTCTCATGGCTTCCTCTGGTTTGATCTAAATCAAACACATTTAGAAGGCATGACTACATCTTTGAGAAAGGCTTTTTCAACTCCTCTGCAATTATCTGCATCTTTTGCACAGAGGAGATGAAGAATGCTTATGTATTGCTTTAGATTATTAAATTGGCAGTATTGAAGCTGCTAATATCAGCATTGTAAGATTTTTTTTAGAAAATATGTTAATATCATGTTGTCTAGGTGATCCTAGTTATGGAGGGCAGAAGTTTTCAGTGCCAAAATATGAATGTTAGGCCAGCCAGCTCTCTTTCATTTTACAGTCCTAATATCCAGCTTTCCCCACTGTGGCACTCCTCTGCTACCTTGAAAAAATTGATTCCTATCCTTCAGTCATCCTGGGAAGTTTTCACATCCATCAAAGAAACATGGTTTAACTTTCCACTGTTTTTTACTATGAATTGTACTAGTGAGTACAATGCTCACTAACTCTCCTTAGAGGCTGCTGGGACCTGGTTTTTGTTGAGCCAGCTCTTTAACAACAGTGCTCTGTCATCAGGAGATGGTTCACAAGGAAGCCACATGCTCAAATAAATGACAGTGATCTCATCTGAACGAGGCAGCTCAGACCTCTGGTGAAAGTTTCATTATTCTGCTGAGGCTCTCTCTGAGCCAGGGAACACAAACAAGTTCACTGAGTGTTTATCTCAACTCTGGCTCCTCTGCCTCAAGTCACATGGAGCCCAGGAGTAACAAAGAAGGGARGGCAATTGCACAGCAAAGCAGTGCTCCCTGCTGGAATGCTGACATGACATGCTGGCTCTGCCACATAAYACAGCAGCCTGGGAACTTATCTTTCCTTTTTTTTTGGGTAGTGCCCAGGTTCTGCAGTAAGAACTAATATGGACAAATAACCCAGAAGATACAACAAACTCCAGAATTTTGAACTCCTCACAAGGTGTTRACAAGTAAAAGAGTTCTTGATCACAAACTCACTGCTGATCAAGTGAAATTTTTTTCATGCATCAGGAATTTGAAAGAATTGCAACATGTCTAGTGTGAGGGAAATGAGCTCCTAATGAAATAAACAGATCCCAAAGTGTAACTTCAATAATGTGAGATTACTCATACCTTCTCATTGAAAGTTGCTAAGATTTCAGATTTGGCTCTAGTAAAAATGATAACTGAGTGCTTGTTAGTAGTACATACATGTAAACATAAACAGTGACTTACTGTTTCACTGCCAGGTTTCCAACCAGCAGGGCAAACTGCAAAAAAGAAGGGACAAAATTAGCAGAAGTATTTTTACACACACAGACTTTTGTGTGTTCAAAATTCCCTTCCTGACCATGAAATAAAACACCATGAAGTGTCACAGGAAAGTATCTGAACCTACTAAATGTGCTGTTTTCTTTACACATGGGATGGTGACCTAACAGTTTATACTTGATCACCCACCACTTCTGTTACCCGAAAACTGCAGACCTCTGGATGGATGCCTATGCCTTAATTTGTGCCCTTCTACATGAACTACTGGCAAAGCAGTATTTGAGAATGAACACCTATTCTAGTAAAAACATGAGTTTTGTATAAAATTCAGGTGACTACCCAGGGACCTACCTTCTTTTCTTTAGAATAAAAACTAGAGGAATTTTTAACAAAGGAATCAGTTCAAAGATTCCACATGAGACTGATTTTATTTGTAGCTTTGCTTAGGAGCAAAAGGATGGCAGCACATGCTTATGACACAGTGTGGCTGGGAGCCCTGGGACCACCTGTACAGCTGCAYATTCTGGAGTGAAACTCTTATCTGTTCAGAGCTCTCTCTCTGAGACTTCACCCGAAGCAGTTATGCCACATTACACTTCTTTAAGACATAATGACAGACAAAATGCCCCAAATATTAGGAATTGTGAACTGTTTCTCCTTTTCTGTGCAAAGAAACCAATAAGGCATCTACAGAGRCTCTCCTCAACATTCATGTAAAACCTTGGAAAAAAAAGGTGGTATTCTGGAAACACTGCAAATCAACATTCTGTAAAATGGCTTTGTAACTAAGTGGGGGTAAATTTCCTTAGTCAGATGTGCACAGCCTAACTATCAGCATCTATCTTTTCAAGCTGTATAGCAAAGCAGAATAAAGATTTGAATCTTTATATAAAGGTACTTTCAAATGCCTGGTGAAATTGAGTTGAATTGGAAGTTAAGCTGCTAAATGTGCATTCATGTTTGAAAAAATCTTCAAATAAATTATTTAAAGAAATGTGGTAAGTTCACATTTGAGCTAGAAGTACACTATGCTTGAACTGGAGGAGTAAGAATTCTCGATAAAAGAAATGATCTGAAGACAGCAAAACTTCTTTGTTGGTCACACAGCAGTTAGAAAGAAGACACAGGTAATGGCACTGTAATTTCCACAATGCATCTTGACATGAAACACACTGAATTACTTGTGGCAGGTCCTCACTGAATGGCATAGGACAGGGATGACTGCATCTCCATTATTTTAGTATGTGAGAATGTACTGAAATATTGGGCCTTGTTCTTCACAGCCTCATATTTTGTATAAATTTATGCTTGTGACACATGSTACATAACTCAAAATTCAGACTAAAGAATGCTTTATGCTCTCATTCCTGTGGATGTGAAGCAAAACATAAATTACTATTACAGAAACAACCTAAGGACCTGGGACCACAGAATCAAGCAGGGCAATCAAATCACTTCAGTCACTGCATGAGGCCAGTCCTTAACACTACTAAGCACTTTTTCTCCAAAAAGCTAAAAAATTCAAGGTTAAGTAAAACAATCTTCAATATGGCAATATCTGAAAGAGCACCTTCTCCATGTTTGTCAGTGTACTGGAATGCTTGTACTAAACGAAGTGTTTCATCCACTGATCTCCCAACAGGAAGGTCATTCATTGTGATCTGTCGAAGGATTCTCTTATTGTCAATAATAAAAAGGCCTCTGTGGGAAAGAAAAAAAAGTTTCTGTGTGTTAGGAAACAGAATTAATGATAGTGTTGTTTTTATGCTCTACTTTATGTCTGCTGGATGGGAGGAATTTGATCTTTGCAAACACCATACAATACCCACCACTAATAATCTACTGTTCTTTACCTGGGTTTCAGATTACATGAGCTGAGCTCAAGTTAAAACCAAAAAAGGATATTCTTTGCAGAACATAAAACTAAGCTTGGATAGGTCCTGCCAGGAGATGCTGCAGGTGCTACGGCATGACAGGTACCAAAAGAAACTATTCAGTTTTAGGCAAAAGCATCTCTTTAGGTAATCTTAGTCTTGACTCCACTTGGACTTGGGAAGTCCCTGAGCAACTGCAGTTCTAGGGAATCCTGAATATTTGCCCTGCCCTAGGTGTCTGCTTATGCCTGCTGTTAGACAGGATAACCCTGACTCCTCTTCTGACTTATATTTTTTTGTGTTCTTCAATATTTGTTGCTTGCCATGAATTCCCAAGTAAAATCTGTCCTCCAAGAAAAATTTACAATGCTTCTTTAAATATAAAGCATTAAGTATTAGCCCAGCAAAAACCCAGCTGAACTGCAACCTACTGAAATACCTAAGTGTATGTCCTTGATCTTCCAGATACACTCCATAATCCTTTGAAATCTGGTGTGTCASATCAGAAAGAAGRGGAATCTTCATTGGTCCAAGTCCTCCTTGTTTACGAGGAGTGTTAATCCTTTGAAGGAAATGAAATACAGAAGTATTTCCTGTAAAGATTAAAATTCTCTACACAATTCAGAAGTCACAAACCAGAACAGTACAATAGAAGGATTTAGTGCACGAGTCATTTTTTCTGTTYTGCACACAAAGGAGAATTAACAGTATTTGTGGCTTGAACAAAATGTTCAGTAGACATTTTGAAGGTTTTGGCCACATCTAATGATGGGCTCTTCCTTATCAGTTACATTTGCTTTATGCCAAAGTGCTCATGAACTGTGACAATGTGAAGCATTTATTGATAGTTTCCTTTTTTTTTTGTATTTGTAGTATTTTTTGGACTGAGATATGACACATTTCAAGCAACACACATTAAACAAGCTTCAAAAAAAAAGGTACTTTCACACACTACAGTTAAAATTTATTTTAAGCATCTGTGTCAATAACATCACACTTTCACACATTATGGTATACCTACAGAGGCTAAAAATCTGRGGAGTACTGTTCTTCAGCTAAGATGGAACCRTGTATAATGTTTAGTGAAAGAAGARAAAGATACATACCATGCTAAATGAGTGAATTTTGAGTCCACAGAACATGCTACTACTTCAGTATTTATTGCTCTGAATTCTTCAATTCTGTCACTGAAGGCGATTATCTCAGTTGGACAGACAAATGTACTATAAAATTTAAGACAGGAAAAAAGTCAAAATTTCATGAAAAAGCAAATAAATTGTCTGCTTAACTTGAACTCGTGGATTTATCATAAATTATTTCAGCCTTTGCTTATTTTTATTGCTTCTTCAAGTATTTAACCAAAATGCTGCCTAACAAATCTTCTACCCTCAGACTGTATCTTAGTTATAAAGGGATTATTTMTGAAGATTATAAACGTACAGTTATCTTACAATCTGGATTCAGAGTTTTTACAGTTACTTTCTTTCAGACTGAACCAATATCAAGTGGCTGATTTTAAGCACTATAAGCCAATTTTTTCAGAGGATCATACTATAATTTGTTGTTACCATGCATGTGTGCAAGGTTTGTATTTAACTTTTTCTACTATAGAAGAACTGAAGTGGTAATGATGYTATAATATCAGTTCTGCACCTCTGTGCATAAGTGCTGCACAATGCAGTTATTGTGTGGAAATTCTGTAATTTATTATTCTGTGGAAAACAATGGGATTGCCCCTTACAAAGCAGACATGTTTTCCCTCAGTCAGTAAAGTTACTGAATTCTAAATAAAGGAGGTTAATGTTAAGTGCTCTTAGGATGTTATGGGATGAGCTTGAAGGGAAAATGCCACCTCTTGGGTACACTATATACACTCTAGAGAATATAGAAGGGATGCTCTCTTCTATTTGCAGCACTGATTTACAGCACCAAATAGAATATAGAGGCTGCCTAGCTGGGTAACTACAAAGTTGGCTTTTTTGTGTGGAGACACAAATTAGTGGACACAGTTATAAGGACAAAGATTGTTATAATTTTACCAAAGCACGATGAGAAAACAAATGCAAAGAATATATTTTCTTCTGTCACTCCTTTCTTCTCTCCCAAATTCTTACCCAACAAAAATACAAGACCTCAAAAAAAGAGAAGAATTAATGAATTATGAATCTAGTGTAGCTGCACTCAGTATGTCTATAGTGATCTTACTTACAAGTCGAGAGGATAGAAGAAGAAGACAAGATATTTTCCTTCATAATCTGTTAATTTCAGCTCTTTAAACTCTCCATTAATGACTGCTGTTCCCTCCCAGTAAGGTGCTGGCTTGGAAACTGAAAGGCAAAGAAWGTTCCATTAAAAGTCAGAATATGAYCATATTCAAACCTAGCTGTTCTTCCTTTTGCTTCAAAAACAGCCTGCAGCATAGTTACAAGAGGAAACAGCTTTACAGCTCTAAACTGTATAGGGGTACAGAATGATGAAGTAACACAGGTTTTGGTACAYACAGAAAGTAAATAATTAGACCAACCTGTGCTTGTACATGAGCCCTGCTGATCACTGATAATCACAGCCAAAACCACAAACCTTATCTGGGCTGACTGAACAAACCACGTATGCACTGCCAGCTCAAGGTTCCTGCTGGACTGGAGGAGAAACTTTTTAATAGTTCAGGTACCCTCACTCTTGTTAGGAACAGCTGCTGGGAACCAGAAGCAYAAGATAGTGCAAATTCACATTGCTACTTTTTAGCCATAGAAAACTCTCTGGAATTCTGGTCCACAAAAAAATACATGCCACAACCTGTTTAGAGACAAATGCCTAAAAATGCAGCATATGTTTATTAAATTGCAACTCCTATGCAAATTTTAACTTCAAGATAGCTGTGTTTCCAAAAAAAAAATCCAGTTGAAATGCATGAAATATATTTACTATTCCTATTAGAGGGGATTGACCTTGAATTAAAAATATTAAAAATTAATTTGTCAGTACTATTTTCATAGCAATGTGAATTCTGAGACAAAGGAAAAGGATAAGGTACGCCGGAGTTACAACGTAATCTGAACACACTTGCAATGTCAAGGACATTGAYAGACATCTCCAGGGAATGCCTCTGATAAAAATATGAGGAATCTTAATTATTGTTGTTTAGAATTGTTTGGCTCTCTTTTTCTTAGGACAACTCTCAGCTGCAGAATATAGTTAGCAAGGATGTATAACAAAGACCTTCAAATTAGGAGGGAGAAAGAAAAGTTATTAAATAAAATAGTGTATATCTTGACCCCCTTCTAAATTAAGGTAATTGTTTTGGCAGTTATGAACTTTAATAATTGCAAAGGGAGRAAAACCCAAACAATATTGTTTACAAATATCTTGGCTGCTTTTATTTTTTTGTAACATCTGCTTGCTAACGTTTATAGCAGAATGTACGCCACGGCTCAGTAAAGGAAAAGGATTCTAAAACTGCAAAGTCTCACAGTGAAGATAATTTTTGTGTGATCTCTCTGTACTCTCCGTCCTGCAGAACAGGACTTTTGGAAAGCGTCTGACTTCTTGAGCAGTTGCCCCCGAACATCTCACTGCTTTGCGATTTAAGGTGTTTGTCCCCGGCTCTGTGATTAAAGCATTTAAATCATAACAGAGCACGGGCACAAAAGCAGTGCGGTGACAGCGAGTTACGAGCGGTGCCCGTTCATTGTTTCYGATCGCAGTGTGAGCACAAAACATTCCTGTGCATCCCTTGAAGGGCTTCCCTGGACTCTCGCCAGGTCTGGAA